AATTGTTATACGCAATTTGAACAGTTGGGGGAATCAAGACCCAATTCTCAAGATTTTTCTGGACTAGAGACTTGAATAAATTGTCAGGACTTTGGTTAACGACTTCATTTTGACCATCAGCCTGGGGTTGGTTTGCAGTGGAGAATTTTGATTTAGTGCTAACCATAGGCAACTGGGCTCTTTCAAAGTGACTAGGGAAATCACGGGATACAGAATCTGGAGTCCCAAGAAGAGCCTGGATCCTACCTAAGGAGATGTCCTCACTATCATCATCAAAATCTTCAAGTTTAGGGTCATATGCTAGATCTTCTAACGACTCTTCTATTGCATCCTTTCGTTTTTCTATGACTAAGGCTCGGTTAGGACATTTGGAAGAAATGTAGCCAAAGTTCTTACAGCTGATGCATAGCAAGTAAGAAGTCCTTGGAGTTTCAAAAATTATATCCTTATTTTCCAAAATTGGAGGAACATTAGACGGGGAGGTCCTAGAAGGGAAGTGGAGCCAATGAAACCGAAGGATGATTGTCATTACGCTTTCTACATGAAGAAGACGACCTTGGACTATCACGACCTTTACACTTGTCTTTCCAAATGGAAGGAACACTAGACTGGGAATGCTCTATGATAGACTTATGATGAGATGACGCTAATGAGATGGGTGAACGATGATGATCACGCTTTTCATATGCAGTACTAATAATCAACTCATAATCTCAAGCTAAAGAATAAGCTTGATTAAGAGTGGTGACATTTCGAAAGAAAAGCTTACACCTAAGTTCATCTCTTAGACCTTGTATAAACCTACTTAAAGTCAGGGTCTCATCCTCAACGACATGACATTTCACTCGAAATTCCTCAAATTGAGCAATGTACTCAGTTATTAGCCGATTACCTTGTGTAAGAGTGTTCCATTGGGTAAAAATTTCATGATCTAAGCAACTATCGAAAGTAGGAGTATCTAATTCAATGTCTCTAAAGAAACGCTCCTTATGACGAGGAAGAAAATGAGTATCCTGATGACCATGACCTTGTTCTCGCTCATGAACCTGATCTCTATTCCTACGATCGCGTCGAAAGTATTTTTGATCACTTTGTCTACAATGATATTGTCTATTATGAGACGCTTTAAAATTAGTGTCAGTCAAATGAGGGGTTTGCTTAAAATTGCTCAACTTAGCAGCTAGGTTCTTTCTCTCCTCACGAGTAGCAGTTATATCTGATTGGACAGTCGATAGGCTAGTAGCAAGTTGCACTAATTGTCTAGTGAGTGCATCAAATGGGGATGGATCCATGGTCAATGTATTGGAAATGGAGACGACAAGACGATCACGCAACTACATGCAATGTAATACCAGCTAAATGACGTGTAATAATGAGATCAATGAACAATAAATGTAAGAAATGAAAAATAACAAACTAAGCATTTTTTTTCAGGGTTAAATAAATTCAAATAGGACAAGCTAATACTGCTGATCTATGTAAAATAACAAAGCACGGATCAAATAATAGTCAAAACCTGATCATGTAATATAAGTGGGGGTAAAATAGGGTTTTGACGAAATCAACGGATTCAGTCACGTGACTTTAGATATATTGTTAGAATAACAACATCACAAAAATTTAATTAATGCAATTTTAAATGAAGCAGTATTGTAAACCAATGACAAATATAAATCAAGTACTCCCTGTTGTTTAGTGGCAACGGTGGTGCCCACGGAAGCTTAAACCTGATGGTGATGTACTTCCGGACCCAAAGAATCAGAACTGTGCCCAATTATGATTTCCCAATTGGCACGTCTTCAGTAGAAAATTATAATGGAATACTCCTAAGCAGTCGAGTCGCTGAATAGAACACTAATCCTCAAGAGTTTTAACAAGCTGTCCCAATGTAAATAATAGGCCAAATCCAATTCAACAAATGTCCCTGGCCCGCTAAATTCAGAAAAAGTCCACCGATGTGAAAAATAAAGCGAAAATTGAACTTCGGGTAGTGGGTGACAACTGGCTTGGCAGTGGGTTGCCGGCGATTAGCAGTGAGGGTAGTCGCGAAAAGTGTGGTGACTGTGGGATACCGACGGGAAAGGAGGAGTTTAGGGCTTAGGTTGATTGGGTATTGTAGATGTGGGCTAGGTTAAGTGTTGTATATGATGTGCTAGGGTTATGGGCCGAACGAATTTGGGACCGGTTATGGGTTGGATGGTGTTGGGCCGATTGTGATAATATGTGATAAGTGGGTTGGATTTGGTGTTTATTGGGTTAAAAAGCGAGTGGATTGGCTAAATAGATGATGAGAGATGGAATATATGGGCTGAAGGGCTAAATGGACTTGAATGCTAGGGTTTAGGATTTGTGGAACACCACCACAATTTTTTTTATTTATGAGCAGCAACAGAAAAAAAAACGAGTACCCGTGATGAACAATTACTCTTTTTTTTTCAACTAAGACTGAAAATTGAAGAAGGAAAAAAAATGTTTTACCAAAAATTCTTTTAATTCGTGTTGTTCTAACAGATTTGGAGAAAGAAATATGAAGAAATTTTGGATTAAAGAAAGGATATTACTCAAGGTTCGGCTCTGATACCAAATTTGACGCAGGACGAATTCAAAAATAGAAAGAAGAAGCAAGAAAGAAAGAGGGGAAAATCGGAGAGAATGAGGGGAGAAACCGGAGAAGAAGCAGAAATTCATAGGGGAGAGGGGAACGGAGAAGAAGGAGAAGCCATAGACAACAAACCACCAAAATATTCTTCAATTCATCAAAACTAACGAAATTACATCACAATTAAGTTTAAATAGTAAAGACTAAAACCCTAAATAGAATGGACTTGGGCCAACACAAGCCCAATTACATAAATAAAATATAAAACATAAATAAAGTCCAACTACAAATAAATAAAAAGTAGATGTCCTCATCAAGAGCCAAATATGTTCACTGCACTAACAGTATAAACCAAAGAAATTACAATTTTTTCAAGGATGACCCCTTCATAGTAGATATAATGTTAAAATATCCGAAATGGAGGCAAGCTGTATACGTTTTATCATGGAATGGTTCGGCACCAATAGTTGATAAATAAAATTTATCTTGGATTGGTAAAAAAATTTGGGTAGTATTTTATTGTGTAATAACAGAACCATATGTAAAAACTGTCGATCTAGCCCTATATTGCATAGCATGCACAAAATTCCCAACTAAGGGTATAGAAAATGAGAGCTCGTGCTAACATTTTTATAGTCTCCAATTTCTTTATTTCGGCCTGATCTACATTCTTGGAGGCAACTGATGACCATCGACTTACCACCATCCATCAACTGTTCTACAGGCTGCTACTGGTGATCTTCCAGTTCATCGGTCCTATATTGGCGGCCAATAGGCTGATAATTATTTATTGAACGACAAGAACATTTCTTGCACATTCTTGATTCCTCAATCCTACTAAGTTTCCCTCAAGCGACCAGAGAGTTACGCAATATCGTATGTGCACATAACTTGGAATAAATCTGCCTGACAATTTGACGTTTTAAAAACCACTATTGATAACCTACCTAGCATCCATCAGAAAATACAGATTCACTGACTCTTCTTCAAGATTGCACAGTTCTTGAGAACATTGGCCAAGTGGTCAATATTGATCCTTGGTCTAATTATGTTTCACTGTACTCATAATTCTAATATTATTCTTTACTGCAATGTTAATATTTCCTTGGCCAATTCCTGAAAATCTCGACATCAGCCCGTTCAATACTTAATGCTTGTTTGGTAGAAATTTTGATAATTGATTTTTTGACCGTCAAAGATAAAGTGGATCCTACCCGTGAGAGAAGATTTCAAAAATGACAACTGAAATAATGAAATAACGGTCAAAAAAATTGATTTTAATTGGCTTAAAATCTATACCAAACAAGCACCTAATGTTTATATCCTTCTTTCAAATTATTCCTTCCACACCAAGTCGTTTATCAGACTTGCACTACCATATGTATTTTACAGAGCACAAACACTAGTAAAACGTACCTTCTTCAACTTGCTAATATAATCAGATTCTCCTTTCCTTATAATGGTTACACCCCCTAATCTGATCAAGAAAGGCTATCATTTTGTTAGTGAGCAGGTAACTAGGCATGTTTAAGCTAATGAGATAAGAACATGAAATCTTTCTCAACATGATAGAGAAAAAAAATCCCCACAGAATTACCGTTTGAAAATGAAGCTAGCACAGAGCTTGGGAAAGAAAGAAAAAGGAACACACAGAAATTACCCTTTCGCTAAAGAAAGTAACTGCTGGGTTCCATCTAGATCATTTACTTTACAATTTAAAACTTTCTGAACGAGGCGCTTATACTCATTAACGTTAGGAGTCAGGACAGCCAAGTGATAATCAGTGACCAAGTCAAGGCGATTTGTAACAGGAAAAAGCCCATCCTGAGAAACCTACAAAATACAGGCCAAACTATTACTTTTATAGACAAGATCGAAAGAATTTCCTTCGAAGGAAAGTAAAGTTATTGTTGTTACGATGCACCCCATCTACAACAATCGGGACATTGGATTCTGGCATGCTTCATGATCTCACTGACACAGTCCCGAAGATGTAATGCTTGTTCTGTCAAGATATTTAGTCGTAAATAATGCAGATTTTATTTGATATGACAAGGAGCAGACATGTAGCAAAACTGGTTCAAAGGAAGCAGAAAGGGAATTATTTAAAGCATAGACATATTAGATTAGATCATTCGAAATGGATTATGGACTGTTTTGCAGAACAATTAGAACTTTAAAAGCAGGTCAACATGATGCTTCCAGAGCAAGACAAATCAAGAATGCTCATTAACAGGAGATGAACAGCAGGAATTATGTATATTAAAATCATATAAAAAGAACATAAAAAGGGTTATAGTTACAATATCTGTTAAGCATGTGGAAGTCTATTTACAATAAATATTCTCCAGATCTTATGATCGAAATCAAGACTTAGAAGCATCACTTGCAGAAATTTAGGCTCTCGGGATGGTTATTACAAAGACCATTGAATTAATCTCACTTAAGTATATATTTGCTCTTATGATAGTTTAATCATAAAAAAAAGCTAGTTCATACACAATGCAATTCATCCAAGAAAATATAAAACGGTATAACAGGTCATCTGGAAAAGAATAGGTCCTAACTTGTTGGAAGGTCACAATACAATCTAGTGACTCCTTTCAGACAATATTTCTTTTTATCTTTCTCTTTGACTAGGAACCCTGGCAGATGGAATTTCACAATTTTCACTAGTCATATTTGGATACTCATGTAAAATGTAAATATACAGTTTCAATAGCACCAGGAGAAACGGGTCTCTCCCCAGACCTGGACCAACAACTAAACAGTCAAATCTCCCCATCCACTTATCAACCTGTGTGATTACCTTGGCTGATATTGATCGTCTAAACTCATCCCTAGATACAATTTCAGAACGTTAAGCACTCCAAAGAAAGATCCAGTATTTTAAAAACCGAAAAGAGGGATTTAATAAGAATTTATCAAACATCCACAATTTGGATTAAGATATTTACCCTACATTATAAGATTCTTGCACGATCAACTCCGGACTGTAACTTTTGATAACTGGAGCAGCATCTTTTGTACAGAATACGTGCAATAAATCAGCGCCCTGAGAAAACAGACAAATATCCACTCAAAGTACCTAAATAGAAGTCTTTGATGCAAAAGAAAACTTCTTCATTCCCCTTACTAGTGCAATGACAGAATGATTATTTTCAATTTGAAGTAGGAAAAGCGAGGATAACTGACAATTTTTAGAGCTGAAATAGCAGAAAAGTATGGAGATCCGGTATATTCACGGCAACCATCTACAACAGCTATCTTCCCTATGGACCAGACTCAATAAATAAATGATATGAGAGAAAAGCAAATCAAATCATGGGCACTTATGCAGTGTAGAGGCGACAAGTATTCCACCAAACCAATTTTTTAAAGCCACTTTTGTGCCTGGGAATGTGAATTTTTTGACAATTTGAAGATCCAACATAAAGTAACAATTATGAAATATTTAGACCTACATCACGTGCATCTCTATTATCTTCATCTAATTTATCGATGAATCATGTACCAAAACCATAACAACATCTAAATGATAATAAAAGATAATAGTAAGGCATCTGCACTTGCAAATAGTGATGCAATTTATCCCGCCCCGCCATGCTGCATAAATGGTCGCCCCGTCGAGGGCCCCAAGGCGGGCAGGGGGATGCCCCGCCCCGTGAATTTTTTTTTATTTTTTT